AAAAAAAAAGGCTGTTTATCTTTAACACACAAACAAGCTTCTTATGCAAAGTCCTCTCTGCAGCGGAGAGAAGTCGCTAAGGTCGTGTTCTGCCTGGTGTTGATCTTCGCCTTGTGCTGGTTTCCTCTCCATCTGGGTCGCCTGCTGAAGAAGATCATCTATGATCGAGACCTCAGTGAGCAGCGATGTGAACTTCTGAAGTAGGCCAACCATCATGCACAGCTGGGAAAACAAAGCTTTTTCTGTTTGTTTTTTTCTGGCTGTTTACACGTGTCTACATTTTCTAGTTTCCTGCTGGTCCTCGACTACATCGGCATCAACATGGCCACCATCAACTCCTGCATCAATCCCATAATCCTCTTCTTTGTGTCCAAGAAGTTCAAAAACTGCTTCAAGGTAAACACTGAACATGGCTGCGCTGTGTGAGAGCGAGTTTTTAATCTAGACTGCCAAGAATCTGCTTGTTTCTGTGCCAGCGTAGCATCGCAGCAAGGTCACAGGGTCAAAGGGCGTGAGATAGATATAACAGAGAAACGGAGAGTTATCAGATGCTCCCAGAATGGAATTATCTAGAGGACAGAATGAGAGGGGAGATGTATAAACATGGAAAGGTCGTGACCTTTGATAGGAGACTTATGGGAAGTTAGTTCTGTAGGGTTAAAGAGGCACTCCACCGAATTAGCACATAAAGGTCATCATGGTCAAACTTGTAGTGATGTTTGTGTTTAAGCTGATGACTTTTAGGACAAATGCAGATCTCATACAGAGCTGATGATGTTCATGTCAGAGCGCTCTCGTGTGCAAACCTTTTTGGTTTTCTGTTTGGACTGACTATTTTTGACCAGTTAGCATCTAAATAAGCAGCACATGCGCCTAAAAGAACAGCACGTCATACTGATACTTAACTGTTGTTCACTTAATTTAGCAAATGAGCAAAGAGACATTCGGACGTTTCATTTCTAAAACAATGATTAGGTCCAATCCTAGACAGTAAACACTTTTTACAGTGGAGATTTTTAAACCTTAGGTAATAAAACGTTATGCTGATGTTTTTTGGTTCTTGTCATTCTGTCTGTAAACACGACAGCTCGAAAAGTTTTGAATGAATTCCAATAAAACCTTGTAGGGGTGTGAGTGAGGTCATGTTAACAATCCATTAAATTTTAGCTCACATCCACCAACACCTTCAAGGTCAACTCAACGAATTAATGGTTGAATTAAAGCCTTATAACTTAAGAACTATGATCCCTACATGTGTGGTGTGTGTGCAACACATACAGAAAGACTTAAAATATCATGCCACATTTGACCACTGACCTCCTCTTCAAGGTCAATAGATTGATCTGAAGGTCAAGCTGATGATAATGCTATATCAGGATACTAAAGGTGCTGAGGTGGTTCTCTGCTCTTTCAACAATGTGTCTCCTGTGAGTCGCCCACCTGAAAGAGGAACGCCTTTAACCTGACTCCCCTCTGTCTGTCTGTCTCTCTGCAGTCCTGTCTGTGCTGCTGGTGTTACTCTGGCTCTCTCTCTAACAGCATGCTGCCTCTCCACCACGGGACGAGCCTGCAGTACAAACACACTGACCACTGAGCGAGCAGGACACTCGCCTCCATCTGCAGCTCTGAGCGCTGAACCAGCAGCCACACAGAGACACTGACTGTGTGTGAAATACAGCACAGAGTACACCAGCGCTTTCATGTGTAGTCTTTACCTTT